ATAGGCTTAATAATAGTGATAAAAATTACACTAGACTATAGATGTTTTTTTTTCTACACTTTTCTTAATCAATATTCTTCTTAAAGGCGTGTAAAACTAGCATTCAAAGGACAAAAATGTATTTAAAATGCTGTTCTTACACGTCTCTAATTTGAACTAAGAAGAATGTAGAAAAAATATCTCCATCTAGTACGATTTTCATCACTATTATTAGACCTCAACACTCTACTTATCACAGGTTAAACTACAATTATCTAACGTGACAAATATCCATTTTCCGATTTACTATTTGCTTTCCGAATAAGAAAAATATCGGTATTAATCATTTGTCGCAATGAAGTATGTTATTTCAGTTTGAAAACTAAGGACCTGAAATTATTCAAACTCAAATCAATATGACAAAATTATTATATTATTTTTATTTAAAAATTACTGACCAAGCTCCGTTTTGACATTAAAGTTAAAAATAAGTGCTTTATAAATGACAGAGAATGTGTGTATAAAATTGGGTTAAAATATTAGTGAAATGAAAGAAAAAATTAATCCCAAGATTTGTAAAACTAAAACACATTTTAAACTTTTATCACTGTTTAATATATATATTTGGAATGAGTATAAAAGTATGTATGTCCAAATTGCTGTGCCCCACAGTTAATAATTATAATAACAATAATGGTGAAATACATTTCCCGAATACCAATGTGGTAAACTAGGTAAGTTATGTAATTTAGTAATAAGTTTGTGTCTTGTTTTTTAACGCGAAATAAATCCCCAAGTAATTAAAAACATACTTTTGGGGTGGTAGCTAATACAAATAGATTTTGAACTATAGCAAAAAAGAAAACTACAACAACAACAAAATATTCAAAAATAATTGAAATAGATTAAACATGAATATTGAAATTGAAAGTGTATTTTTTAAAGGCATAATTTTCTCGCAGAAATTGTCTTCTCTTTCTTTTAAAGTCCGTGAATTATCGTTTGTTTCAATTTATCAAGTCTTTACCTTACCTTCGATACTTTATAACATATAGGCAATGGAATCTGTGCTACGTTTATATGACATGGAAAAAAATTTCCAATATTCCCATACAAAATGTACATACATTCATATATTTTAAATCTGTGAGACTTTTGAATTGTTTTATCTCTCTCTTTATATATATTGAACCTAATGAAAATATGGATTATATGAATATTTAACTAAGGTGCAGAACAATAATTCAATATTACCGCTTTCTCTCATTTATGTGACGTTTGTCTGATCCTCCCAAATATAGACGTCATTTGAACTTAATCATCGATCGGTCTAGATGTATGTTCGATAACAAAGGACGTATCGCAGAGAAAACGTTCTAACATCGTGCATTTGCATTATTGAATTTAACTAATAAAGCACACCGTTTCCAAGATTAATTTTTAACTGACTTTCAAATAATCTTACATTAAAGATATATTTATTGACTAACTGGAATTACTTTTATCATGCACGAGTTTCCTAAATACTATTTTCCAATTAACCTCAGATTGTTTGGTAGAATATTTTAATGTTGTTTCATGCCAATATAATCCAAATACAGTTAATTTTGTTTTCATGACTTTAGTGTGAAGGTTATGCGTGTGCTATATATATTAAATATATAATTAAAAATAAGTAACAGAAAATAATTAGTTACTGAACAACAAGCTGAGATTCAGTTCATATGTTACATGTATAACAGATATATCTATTGTTGTAATACATGAAAGGAGACTATTTTTCTATATAGAATATCTTAGTGAACTGAAATGTACTTTGGCGGTATGCTTTATCAGTTAAATTCAATATTACAAATGCACGACGTTAGAGTTTTTTTTTCTATACTATTTGCTTTGTTATCGAACATGCATTTAGAATTGATGGTTAAGTTAAATGACGTTTATATTCGAAGGATCGGACAAATGCATAAGAAACATGTTTCAGGGATAACGCTTTTTCGCTAGTTAATTGATGTGTTAAGAAAATAATTGAAGTTTGTTTTAATTAATAATTTACATCACAATTTGGCTATTAATACTTTAGTAACGATCTTCAGGAACGTTTAGAATTTTATGTGTTTAAAGTCAGTATTTCAATTCGCACCGTTTGTTTGTTGGTTGAATTTCACACAAAGCTACTCAAGATCGGGCTGTTTGCGCTAAAAGTTATAACTAATTATAACTAATTGTGGGTTTGATTATCACATTATAACGACCTCACTTGAACGCCCTAACCACCAGGCAGTGTCAGGTCCCATGCACATGCCGTATTTCGCAGATTCCTGCAGTAAACATGGAACAATTTAATTTTAATTACTGTCGGAGTTCACTAGATCGGTTTACACTATTAACACTTTCTAATGAATTGTATGTTGTAGCTTATTTGATATAAGTAAGTTCTAAGACATTCATTTAGTTGAAATTTTTTGTCAGATTCTCCCTTAACTTTTCTTCTATGTTATATTCAGTCGGAAATTGAAATTCGACGGGTTATAAGATCAGGAAACATAGATGATCACGACTTGATTATTTGGCTTTTCACTACCGATGATCATGATCTTTACAGAATCATTCAGTATTGTTATGTAAACAATAGCCAAACACGAGGTTATATGAATCTATATAACCACTGTAGGAGAGAGAGACGTTCATAGTGGCAAAGTTTCATTTGTTCCATATTTCAAAAAGGAGTTTAGATGAAAAAGAAGAAGAGAGATACACACAAACAACTTTACTGTCAACTTGTCGAGTAAAGTTATGGGTTCCTTACCAGCATTATACCACAGTATAGCCGAAATCCTGAAATTGAAAGAGCCTGAAGCAAGGTATGTGTTGAAGCTATTAACTGCTATTTTTCTTTATGTATTGAAGTCACGCAGTGTAATTTATAAAAGTATAGGTGAATATATCTACATAGCCTTTTTATCAAATCTTAGTTTACATTTTGTTCTATATTTATTTACAAAATAACAATCTGCTACAGTACAGTCAAATAAGTACAGTGTCAAGCATCTTTCTCTGTATGCCACAGTACCAGTAACTTGCTACTGGTCTATGTAGATTAGTTTCTAAAAAAAAATACTAAACTGTAAAATATAAAGATCGTCAACGTCATTGCTCTGTGTGCACGCATTACATATATGTGTTGTTTTATCCTAATTTAATTTAATTTGTTCGTTTACAGGATTAAAAATTCATGTAACTTACGTTATTGAGATATCAAAAAATTACAAGAAAATCGAGATGTAGTTTTTTCTGCAAGTTAAGTTATTTTCATTGCAAATAAATGGATTTTGAAATTTTAAAATTTTCCTATTTACATTCTTTAACGCTTGATATTCAAATGACATTGTTTAATTTTGAATAATTCAAAATAATCTATCCTTATATTAAACTTTATAAGAATCCTTGAAATATAATATACAATTTAGAATGAGGAAAGACAAACGTCGTTATATCAGTTGATTAAAACTTCTTAAATGTTAAAACTAAACATACAATTTGCCTTTTGTTTCCTTAATTTAATTTTGAACAATATTTTATTCGCGTTTTAAGTTTTTCTAGTTTTGTTTTCCTACTTTAAAAAGAATTGTAAAATATTTGTGTATCGTTCCTATGTAACCTTTCAGTTTGGGTTTCGACAATAAAATACACATTTTTAAACAACCAGTATTATTCTTTTTCTTTGCTTGCTAACCGTATACTAATTTATTATATGTAGAATATAACTCGTTAAGCCATAGTGAAAGAGCATATTATATACGGTATAACACTTTAAAAGATAAGGTTTAAACGCTGAAATGTGGCAAAGCTTTATAAATCAATAGACCTAAAATGAGTGATAAAATTAGATTTTTTCTTCATTAGTAAGATGAATGTGGAGATAGGCTCAACAATGTTTAGCTTAATTAAAGTAATGTTTGATCGCAGTGAAAATATAAATCTAAAAAAAATATATAACAGAAATAAAACTATAGAATATAATGATATATGAAATTTATATCACAACTAAAGAATCTAGATCAGAATGTTGTCACATTGAAATACTACCAATCTTTCCTAAATATGTTGTGTAAACAATATACTTTAATGACCATTTTTACCTAATCTATAAGTACATTGTTAGAGAGAATATATTTTACTTTTGTAAGTTTTCAAGTATTTCATCGAAATAAAAGCGCTATCAGAAGCAAAACACGCGTAATTATAAACTAGTGTTATCGAAACATTTCTTGAAAGTTTAGTTATGAAATCTGTAATACATACTGAAGACATTATGGGATAAGCTGATATACACACTCTGCAAGAACACGCCCTATGACTCAATGGCAATGTTGCTGAAACTCGTGGGGAACATCTCCCTTTAACTGAAAATTATGGAGGGTATGTCCCCCACGATGTAAGTTACGCCTGTGCAATATGAAGAGAATAATACGTGAAAGATGAGACGAAATCCTAACCTGTGGAACAATACCTAAAACAGAGCATATAACATAAATTGAGCAATTGCAACAATGTTGAAAAAATCAACAGTTATCCAAGTTGGATAACCATAACATTTTAGTACATGTAAAGTTACAAATAAAATATATTTGAACACTGTGAGATAGCAAAATTTCTACGCTAAAATTGATTATATCCAACAAATAAGTTGTGAAACTGAAGTGATTTGTTAAAATTGTAAGCTTTAAAACGATTATAATTAAAAATTACTATGTTCAATTTAAAAACTACAATATCCTTGTAATATTATCAATCACTTAAAATAACTATCATTAAACTAATACGATCTTATTTTCTCAGTCAACAGTTCATTTATAGTATCGAAACAATTATAAATATTAATTCAATAATTATATTTCTTTGCTTACTTTTCTTTTGACCTTAAGATTCTTTTATCAGTAAAATATAGCCTTCATTTTAAGAAGTTTTTATGAGTATTACTTTTAAAGTTAGGTAAAAGTATAGAAGGAAACGAAGGCCATTTTTTGTGAAAGATGGTTTATTGACGAGCCCTGTAAAATATACACAAATATCCCGAATGGATGCTCTCGTGAATGAAACGTTGATATGAAAAAAAAAAACATTACTTAGACAATAGACTTAATATGGTGGCAGGATAATATTACAGACTCTAATCACAGGAAAGATGTTGAGTATGGTACTGGTTGATAAAGACTACCTGAGGGTCGTAGTTTTTTCAGTTTTCCATTAATTTTATTCACGCCAAAATCATAATGGTTTGAACATTTGGTTTCTGAGACAGTCTTTTATTTGATTTAAATTTAACTCGCCAGGACACTGGCACTTTCAACCCCACAGCCTTTCTAGCTTATATTATTGTACAACAAACCTAACGGACAGCAAGCAATAGTTTACTTTCTGGTCATTAACACACCTGTCCATAAATAAAATAAATTGAAGAAGTTTACATATAAGACCGCTAGGTACAATCAACTGAGTCCTTAAAATAAACAAGGGCTGTTCTACAAAAGGGCACGCTATGTACATAGGTCGCAAGCCATCTCCCGTCTCGTGGTGGACTGAACCCTATGTACAAAACCAGACAGTCTGGAGAACAGCGACCAGAGCAGAGGACCGGGAATCTGAGCTCCCTTTAACACGAGGAGATATTACAGAAGACATTAATATACACAATAATTGATCTTTGGATATTATGTTGGCCCTATATCCCCGAGGCCTGTTAGCGGGGGCGGCAACTTGTCTACGACCTGAATACCGAAAGCCACGGACTCACGGCCTTAGCCGAGAAGAAGGGCCGGCTACACGTGCTGGAAAAAATAACATCATCAGAATTAGGTGAGAATTTGGTGGTTCACACTAGGCTCAGCTTGATGGTACCAGTATTGAGGCATATAGTTATTGGTTAGACTCATGACCGGCTTGCCAGGGTTTATGTCCCACGAGCTGATCGGTGGACTCATGGCGGGCGGGCTGACCGCCGCTAGGCTGCTAACCGCCGGACTACTGCTATTAGGGGGCAGCAGACCTGGTTGCCCGGCGCTTCCTGGACTGTGTGTATCTGGTGGCTCCGTCGGAGTCTGTGGTGTGATGGCGGGATTAGGAGGTGGCAGTACTGGGGGCTGGTTGGGATGCTGTGGTTGATGTCCCTGGCCTGGTTGTTGGCCCGTTGCTTGTTGCTGGGCTTTCAACATTTTTTTGCACTTGGACCTTTTATTTTGAAACCAGATTTTGACCTGAAAAAGAAAAAAAATCTTAATTAATAGAAAAAATAAATTTCATATGCGATAAGTACCCCTTAATAAGTAATTTTGCTAATTATACCTAAAACATAATCACAGAAGACGTAGTCGTTTCGAAAATAAAAATATAAAACTAGCATTATATAAAAATTTTAGCCTAACACTATGGAAATAGCAGTTATTTTTTTCTGCTATTTCAAATAAGAATCAACAACAAAAAATTGCAGTAAATTCCGATAAAAATTGATGAATAGAACTTCAGATTTGGCAACAACTTATATAATTTAGTAGTCGCCAATCACATGTATTTAATCAGATGCGTGGAAAGAATAGCGAGGTAATTAGGTTAATTTGGTATGTCGACTAGCGGGATTGTCCCTGTCCTTGAAGGATTTCGGTTGACAAAGGAGTTTAATTTACTCATAAACCACAGTTAAAACAATAAATAGCAAAGCTTTCTATACTATTAGTATTTTTCCACTGACGCCGCTTCGCTAATGATCTAAGTACTTGTACATGTATATATACAGATGCAGAGAAGGTGCTGAAATGTTGGTATATTTTCACGTAATTTACATATCAATATTAGAAAGTAGAGACTATGTTGGTTACTCTCTATAAGCCTTAACTAAACAAACAAAAGAAAGTCATACCGGTAACGCTACCTGCATAACTATTTTAGGTCATTACTGTGGCAATAAGCCAACTGGCATTATTTCATCTTTTGATAAATAAATCATTACCTGGACAAGTCATTCACGTGTAGTTATAATACTGTTCCGTTTTAAATTTAACGCCAGAACGCATAACTTATTATTTCCTGAAAGTATTATTACATCTTTGTTAACATTTGTCAACTAAGCCATGATATAAAAAGTTTGAACAATGCAATAGCTTTACGACTAAGTTGAAGAAGTAAAACCAATATTATTCATGACACAGCCTCGTTCTAAGTGCTTGAAGATAATACCATAAGCACGAACCGATATCTTACAGTAATAGTACAACTGATTTGTATTTTAACATAATAAAACTGTTATATGTCTAACTTGGAACTCAAAACGTGAGGATATTTGATCATTAAGCAAAATTCATTAAAACATATATCTGCAGCTTTACGACTGTTATTACCGTCGACGGGCTATTTATTTGCGACCAGGAAGGCAATCATTGAAGGCAAACCTCTGCCACATCATGTTTTCTGTTATACAGTTATAAATTATACACCAAAAAAAAAATACCTAGCCTTCGAAAATTTATGTGTAGATGCAAAGATAAACTTGCTATCTCAATTTGTTCTCGAGTTTTGACCGTTTTGAAAGTCCTATAATTCGCTGCGATTATAACAAAAGGGTTAAACCTTTTTGCTGCAATCACAAAAATACGGTTAATTGTTCATTAAACTTTTCGAGTTATACTGTTCGCACACACTGGAGTGAAAATTACTGTGATATATAATCAGTAACAGTTTACACTATGTTTCAATTTTCTAACACGAACTACAGATCACAAAATTAGTGTTACATGTTTAAATACCTGCATATTTTTCTTCTGTCACATGCTTGTAAAAATTGCTATGCAATAATATGAGCTTTTTGGCTTTAAAATGCTGTTAAATAAACATTCAAATAACCTCTTTTATCAACACCAGCACTCACTCTGCCTGTAATATGCTCATAAAATGTCACAATATTGTAAACATTTATTAAGAACAACATCTTCGATACCTCATCTAAACGAAGGTTAACTTTACCAAAAATAAAACTGAAGTACAATCTACTATTGGATTTACCACTTTTAGACCGATTTCGGTAAACTCTATCACTCGACAGTAACCCTGGACGAGGGCAAATTGAAAGTATAAGACGGTGGAGTGTATATTATATGTACACTCCACCGTCTTAATATGTTTTACTCATACAGTAATACTATATTTATATAGGAATTCCAAGAATATGCAGGATTGATGTTACTAATTCATTCTTGTAATTATACGTCCAGATAAGTTACTTAAGCTAATGAAAAAGGTTAACTGTGTCACTGATATACAACAATGTTGCAACTGTTTGCTTTAACAATGAATATATATAGTGATTAATCTATTTATTAACAGTTTTTTATAGCAACATGCCGTACGGTTGCAACCAAACAATGCTATTGAATAAGATGTGATTCTAGTAACTATTAGAAGATAATACAAAAATCACGTTAGTTAACGTTGTTCTTTTCCAAAAGCTGACTTTTAAATATTAACTTTTAAAGTATTATACTGCGTATATAAATAACGTTTCAGAGAATATTTCGACTCCCGACCAAGCCCAACTGACGAGTTCTAGTACTATACATTCTGCAGAACTTAAGAATACATATAAAGGTAGTTATTGTTGCTTTTAACAATGTCTTCGTACAGTTGTGATTTATTACTAAAATATCTATATGTTTTATACGTATAGATCGACAGATCAACTTATCTGTATGTCATACAGCTAGTTACAAACAGAACTATAATTATGAGACAAAAATCATCATTGAAATGAACAGTCAAATGATTGTAAAACGTTTTCGTAAAGACAGAGTTGACGAAGGCTGTTATTTTTCAGAAAACCTTTAATTCTGAGTGCTTCATGTTGGTTGCTTTTAAAAGCTAGAGCATGAAAACAAACAAACATCATACAACTGCGAGCGTATTCGAGATAATTCTAAATAAATCCAAGAGCACGAACTATGATGAACAAAGGTGAATAATTAAACAACTAAAACAAGAAAACATCGTTCTTATATGCTTTAGATTCATTTCATTAAAGCTTTGTTTTTTTAGGTGTTCACTTAAACATTTTCATTACTATTAACTATTAAGTGCTGGTTTTCTAAATCAAAGCAGATTCAGTTCAAACATACACACATATTGAGATATGCTTTGAGATATAGCAATCATACAATTAGCTACAGTGAAACATGTATTTGCTTGCTGTTTAGGACACGCTATAGCTAGATGGAACCATTCATGTGAATGTCTTTAAACAAAATATACCAACATTGATGTATACAATAACCTTTGAGAAATACAGACAAGAAATTTGAAGCTGTATAGAATACAAACTAATTATAACTGTATAATACAAACAGCGTTAAAAATAATTAATCAAAGCATAATCCTGAAAGTCCAAGGAAGTCACCATTTTACTCAAAAGTTCTCCATTGGTCAGTTAGATTAACCTTAAGAATTAAACTGTTTGTGCTGTTTTAAGATAAAGGTAAAAAATATAAACTACACGACTAATTCACATAAAGAGAAACCACTTCTTACTAACATACGAAACAAATAAAAATACTGAAGCACTCGTATTTCTGTCCTTTCGACATCCTACCTATACACTGGCGTTCACATACGATCTTAATAACAAAACTGTTATTGTATCAAATGGCTTATATAAATAGTGTTCCGACCACTGCTGTGTTTGTTGTATGTATCCCTGCTGGCCTGAAGAGCTCTGGATTGAGCAAAAGGCGTCGTTGGCAATGGATATGACAAATATAGTGTGGTCAGAATACTAATTATCATTCACTCTTCTAATTCTTGAAAATCCCTAAGGGACTACATTAAGAATTTAGTGTTCGAAAACGTAATAGGCCTAATAGTAATGTCTTATGAAAAATGTAACTGTAAAATTGTTATTGTTGTTTCCTTGGATTCTCACTAAACGTGATTATTTCTATTCTCGTGGAGTTCCAAAATGTCTGTTTTTGATTACATGAAAAACAAACATTCAGAATTCTACCAAAATAGAAAAAAATTGTTTTAGTCAGAATGCCAAGTAGACAACAATAACTATTTTTATTCAGAATTCCAAGTAAACAAGAATAAGTAGTTCTAGTCAGGATTTCATGTAATCAACAATAAGTAGTTCTAGTCAGGATTTCATGTAATCAACAATAAGTAGTTCTAGTCAGGATTTCATGTAATCAACAATAAGTAGTTCTAGTCAGGATTTCATGTAATCAACACTAAGTAGTTCTAGTCAAGATGGGATCACATTCTGACTAAATATTGTAACTATTTGAAAGTATGAAATCTTGAATGTACTATCTCGTAGTTATTAAAACGACAGAATAGTTTTTTCAAAAGCTGTCTACTTAATGTCTATCGATATAGGAACATAGCTTATGTTTATCACTGTAGACCGAGCATGGCTTTGTAACTACCTAATGTTTATCGATATATGAACATAGCTTCTGTTTATCACTGTAAGCCCGGCATGGCTTGGTAACTACCTAATGTCTATCGAAATATGAACATAGCTTATGTTTATCACTGTAAGCCCGGCATGGCTTGGTAACTACCTATTGTTTATCGATATATGAACATAGCTTCTGTTTATCACTGTAAGCCCGGCATGGCATGGTAACTACCTAATGTCTATCGAAATATGAACATAGCTTCTGTTTGTCACCGTAGACCCGGCATGGCTTGATGGTTAAGGCACTCGATTCGCAATCTGAGGGTCGTGGGTTCGAATCTTTGTCACCGAACATGCTCGCTCTTTCAGACGTGGGGGCGTTATAATGTTGCGGCAAATCCCACTATTCGTTACTAAAAGAGCAGCCCAAGAGTTGGCGGTGAGTGGTGTTCACTAGCTGTCTTTCCTCTAGTCTAACACTGTTAAATTAGGGACGACTAACGCAGGTAGACCTCGAAATTCAAAACAAAGAAACCGAACTTATCAATGTAAGAATCGAAATCACATTTCTAAGGAAAAATACGTAGTTACGTTAAAATACAGGTCGCACACTAAAATAGTATAGTTTGTTTTCATATAAACGAGACTGACACTTCTTTGAGGCTCTAACAACAGACTAATATATCTGTCAGTTCATGTGGGTTGCTTCAATCATTGTCAAAATGTAATATATACTTTAAAATGATATTTCTGCCTCTACAAAACAAAACCTATAACTAGCAGTAATTTTAAATATTACAATTATTTGTGTAGTTT